GGGAAGGGGGCTCCGGCAGGTGTGGACGGGTCGATAAAGCGAGTGGGGGAGGATCTCTCTGACCACACGGTGGGCAGCGGGCCCTGGATGTGACTGGTCCCAGTGATAACAAGGAGGGGGCCCCCACCCCAGGACCGGGTCTGGATTCCCCCAGCCCCGGCACGGGAGGGGTTAATGCGAAGGCCGCAGCCCCCTGCCCTTCCCTTCCGGCTGGGCGGCTGGGCCTGTGTTTACAGAGGCTGTTCGAGAGGGAGGGGCGCAAAGAGGCCCTGGACAAAGCCAGCTGCGGCCAGCCCCTGCGGCGGCCCCAGGTGGACCCTGCAGCACCCCAGCTGGGCCCGCCCCTTCCTGCCTCAGGGCTCGGAGGATGCATCCCCTCCCCGGCCTCAGTTTCCTTCCCTGAACGGCCCACGAGGCGGGCTGTCTAGCACGCAGAGGAATGAGCTCCGCTGTGCAGTGGGTGCCCTCAGGGCCCCCGGCCGGCCAGGCCTCTCGCCCCGTGGCAGCTCAGAGCCGAGGCCGAGGCCACGCGTGGGGGTGCGGGGGACCCCCTGGGGTCTGGGGACGTCCACCCAGACCGGTCCCTGCCCCTTGGGCCTTTGCTCCCGGTCATCTTCCTGTTCTGCAGGCCTCGGTCACCAGGCATTTACCGGCCGGGCCGTGTTCGGCATCCACTACACCCCAGACCCAGGGGGTGGGACGGGCTGCAGAGGCGGGGGCTTGGCCTGGTACGCTGTTGGCACTTCATAAATGCAGCCCTGTGCTCAGCATGTGTGGGGTGCCGCCACACAGTGGCAACTGTTCCTGGCCCGTCTTACAGACGGGGGAACTGAGCACCCCCCCCCCCCCCCGTAGGCACAGGGGAGGGGCCGGGACTGGCCTTGCACCAGCAGCCACGGAACACCAGTGTCAAGACCACGAAGGCCGTGAAGCCAACCCGAGGAACTTCTATCCTATTGTCCCGGGGCCCAGCTGCCCTCCTGGCCGTCCACCTCTGCTCCCTGGAGGCCGGCTCTGCTGCAGGGGACCCTGGGGGCGGTGGCCGGGGGTCCCTGGGAGCCAGGACTCCATCACACCATGGGTCTCGGCAGCAGAAAAAGGCCTGACCTGACGGTTCTGGGCTGGGGACCAGACACCTCCTACCCAAGGACCTACCCCTTAGACGCTCCCACCTGTGCCTCCCCCATCAGACCCGACTGCCAAGCAGGCGCCAGTCCCCAGGACCCCCGTGGGCGAGCCTCACCTCGCTTCTGCATGAAGCTGAACAAGTCGTCCAGGAACTCCTTCCTCTTGGGGTCCCCGTCCAGTTCGTAGAGCTGTGGGGTCAGGGAGGGGAAGGGTCAGCCGGTGTCAGCGCTTGGGCACGGGCGCCACATCCCCACTGAGGGGCGGCCGGCAGAGGCAGGTCCGAGGTCCTGAGGCCCCAGGTTCAGATGAAGACACAGGTACCTGCGTGTGTCTCCCATGGCGGTTGGCCGCCCCCAAGCCACATGCTGGGCCCCTTAGAACAAAGGTTGAGTCTCCTGCAGCCCTGAAGGGCAGCGCCCAGACCCAGGGGTCTCCTGAGGCGGGTCCCTCCTGCTGGCCCGCTCCTGGAGCCCCAGGTGTCCCTCCAGCACCTCCACGGGCTCCTCCGTGCACCTGTCGGAACCCTGCTTCTTTGAGGACACCCCCCACTGGATTGGGCCCCTCGTCTCCCCCTTAACTAACGACACCTGCAAAGACCCTGCTCCCCACAGGAGCTCGTTCTCGGGCCGGGAGCTGGGTCTTGACATGTCATTTGGGAGACACCATTCGTCCCAGACAGCCAGCACGCAGAGGCCACATCCTGGAGCTGCCCCCCGAGAGGCGGCTCTGTTTTGTAGATGAGGAAATTGAGGCCCAGAGGCAGGCGAGAACCCAGAGCCTGGGAATGTCAGGGCCCTTCGGCCCAGACTCTGCCCTGGGCTCTCCAGTCATTGGGTGAAGGGCTCGGGGGTCCCCGGCTGCATTGACCACCTGCTCCCAGGGGCCGGCAGCAGAGGTGACTGGAGAGTGGAGTTGGAGGGGGGCGGCGGCAAAGAGCAACCTTCACGTTAAGCCCTGGGGAATGGACCCAGAGGGATCGGGCCCGTGGGGGGTCTTGAAACCACCAATCAGCCCCGGCTGGGACAGTCCATCATTAGGGCCCAAGAACACGCCAACGCCCAGCGCCTGCCACATCCCCGGGGGCTTCGGAGGCAGGGTCTCCGGGGCTGGCCGCCCCTCAGCCTCCCTCCCCTCTCTGGGGTTTGGTTCCCCCATCGGTGGAACAGAGACAACAACGCGGGGCCTCCGGGCACAGGCCGGGGTGGTCCAGGCTGAGTCTTTGTCTCTGCCCTGCCCCAGCCAGGCTGGCCAGCTACATTCCTGTGCTGATTTATGGTGGTCAGGGAGGCCCCACGCCTCCCCCTGCCTGAGGGTGTGTGGCCTGCAGGTGGACCTCGGCCATCCTCCCCTGCCCCGTCCCCGCCTCTCCCGCCCACACACCCTGCCACGCACACCCCCCTCCTGGGACCTCACACCCAGTCTCCTCCCTGACCCTTCCTGCACCACGCCCCGTGGGACTACACGCCGGTCGGGTCTCCCGTCGGCCCGCTCGCTCGTGTGGGATGTGGGGGCTTCGTGTGGTTTGTCACTAGTGTCTAGGTGGGGTCAAGCACACGGCAGTCGGTGAATAAATGGTCGTTCGCTGATCCCTGACTTGCCTCCGTGTGGGCCAGCCTGGGCAGAGGGGCATCACCACGTTTTGGAGTCTCGCTGGAGACAGCAGGTGTCCCCAGGTTCACCTCCACCCGAACCCCCACCTGTGCAATCTTATCTGGAAATGGGGTCGTGGAGGATGTGGTCAGTTAAGCTGAGGTCGTACTCGGGATAGGGTGGCCCTAATCCCACAACACGTGTCCTTCTAGGAGAAGAGACACAGCCACGGAGAAGGCCGTGTGAGGACGAGGCCACAACTGAGGGCCGCCAGGGGCCGCCGGCCACACCAGAGGCGGCAAGACGCAGGAAAGACCCTCCTTGGAGCCGCGGGGGAGCATGGCCCTGCCCCACCTGGATCTCGGACATCTGGCTCCCGAATTCAGGAAAACAAATTCCTGCTGTTTTCAGTCTCACAGTCTGTGGTCATTGCTACGGCCGCGCACACAGGCCCCTCCTGATAGGCGGCAACATCTGTGAGATCCTGACCTGGGGCGGGGGCGGGGGGGGG